CAAGTCTAGGACTTATGCCAGAGCAGTGAAAAGTACAGATGGAAAAAGAAGTACAAGGCAGATTATACAGAGCTTTGAATGCTAAACTAAGTTCACTTATTAAAATGAAGAGTTAATAGCATCCTAATAGCACCTTTTACTCTCTAATCAAACTGGTCCCTTACAGTCTACCCTTAACTTTAACACATACTCACATAGCACTTATATCTACGTTTTGTTTTCCTTATTCAAATAATGCCCTAAACCCCATTGTTAACCTGGCAAAAATCAGCACTTTTAGTGCAAATATCAAGCACGGTAATAAACACTACTGTGCAAACTAAAGTAAGAATAAAATTAGAATTTTATATTCTAATTTTTTTCTATAAAAAGGATCATTACTTTCATAAATAGAAAGAAAAACATCAAAAGACAGATTTAACAAAAAGAGAGGTCTATTCACCCCTTGGTTCTTTGACTTGTTTACATCAGATGACTCATTTAAATTAGTAATTCCTGGTTATCGTTCTATCACCTGCATTTAGCAAAAGAACCCTCAAAATTTGCACTTTAAAAACACCTTAAAACAAAGCACTAACAGAGAAACCTGACAATATTTTTAATCAGACATGAAGTGATGGTATGCAGGGTATGTGGTCCTGTGTGTTTACTTTTATTTAATTTAGGAGCATAAAAATGTAACAAACAATTGTTTTATACAAAAGAAAAACATGAAACACATATCATTAGGGCAAGGGCAAAGAGCATAGTATCTTTAATGTAATTTACATGTTTAAATTCTAAATAAATAAAAACAAATATTTTATGAGAATCTCTAGAATTCCCTGAAGTAAACTGATTGATTTTTATAAAGTAAAATACCACCAATATTTTCTCATGTGTATTAAGCAATAGTACTCTGGTTATTTTAAGTTGTCACTGCTGGGATATTTATCAAAAAGGGACAGAAATCCAATAGCCAGAAACAACACAGCAAGTTACTGAAAAGTGCTATTAATATTATCCTAAAAAAACTACATCTTGCTACTTTAATTTTCAACTCATTTGGAAATGGGGGCCTGAAAAGCACTGTATACATAAACAACACAGCAAGTTACTGAAAAGTGCTATTAATATTATCCTAAAAAAACTCCATCTTGCTACTTTAATTTTCAACTCATTTGGAAATGGGGGCCTGAAAAGCACTGTATACATCACCATACTAAACTCAGCCACAGGACACCCTACATTCACACTTTATACTCCTGACTATGTATACACTGTCTATATAAAAGTTCCTTGTATCACATGAGAAGCAGCACAGATTAGCATTCACATCTACTGAAAGCCACTATAACATGAATAATTGTGCAATATGAACAAAGAGGCCTTTATACAGCCAAAGTCAAAGCTCTTAGTAAACCTGTTTCAACTGAGACAAGCTGACCTGAACTGGGAATTACATTTAACCCATTCATTAAAATAGCTGTATATAATAAACCACTTAGAGCAGCATTCTAAAAAGGGGGGTGGGGGGTGGTGGTGCTAATTTTCTATGAATTCCTCTTTACAGCTACTTCACCTTTGATACTTGTACGTGCTTTTTAAAACAGTTTTAAGTTGATGATTCTGGCAGATACTTCTAGAATTACCACCAATCCAATTTCAGAGACTTTTATTACAACCATTAATAAGCCATTCTATTTTCATTTAAATCAAAAATACTTTAAAAGTTAACTTAAAACTTCAGTAGTTTGCTTGAATGTTGCTCTCATACACACAACGAAGGCTGTCAAGGTGCCATAATGTGCCAAAGCAGTATTCCCGGGTTATTATAAGAATCCCTTCTGCTGGATCTTCAGTTCTCAATGCATGTACTATCATCTACCCCTAAGGTCTCCTCTGCACAGCAGAGTTTAATTTTTTCCAATGAAAGGAACTTAAGACTTAAAGAGAGGCCATTACTGCTAAGCAGTCCTAGCATCCAGACACCGCCTTAAGATGTGTTAAGATCCCACTTACCACTACAGACTGATGGTGAAGGGATTTTTCCCAAAGACTAAAGACCTGTGGCAGTTTACTGGCATACTTGTGAGAACCATATGCTTCAAGGCTGTAGTCATTAAATAATTGTTCCCCTGATCTTCAGAATGCAGCTTTCCCAAAGTTCTCTTACTTAGCTCTCAGCATATTTAATTGCTGTATCAAACCCCTATGTCCAATAGTACAGTGGTAGCTCAGTCTTCCTGAGGCCAGACTGATATATCTATCTCCCTTAGTTTTACACTCAAATCATTTTATAGTCATTTTTTGAAATGTCAAAAAATGGTAATGAATGGGGAAGAACTGAAGAGTCTTCCCCATACCTCTAACAGCTCGATTCAAATATTTACTGAGTGCCTACTCTGAGCCAGGCAGTGTGTTGGTACATAAGGACACAGCCTCTGTTCTTCTTGAAGTAATTAATCAGAAGAGACATTCCCATAAAGAAAAAATTCCAGTATGTGTCATACATAGTGAGACCTAGGTACTGAGAAATAATCTAGTTATCCAGAAGCAAGTATGCTAAAATGTCATTAATGGTTAGTCAAGAGTGATTACTTTCTCAACTCCTTTATACTTTTCCAAATTTTCTATTATATGCTATGATAAGCATTTATTACTTTTATATCCAGATTAAAAAACTCAATGATCAGGATAAAATAATAATAATGACAGTAGTAGTAACTTTTATTGAGCACTCATTACATACCCTTTGTGCTAAGTGCTTCACATATATCATCTCAACAGAATCACCCTATAATAGGAGATTAATGTCCATATTTTAGAGATAAGGAAGCCAAGAGACAAAATAACTCGCAGGAAGTGCTTTTATCAACTAAAATTTGTACTTCTTACTTCAGAAATAAGCAGGGGTTGAGAACAAGACAAAAATAATTGGCTATGTAATTAGAAAGAGAAGAGTCACAAATAGATGCCTTTTATTGGATGTAAAACTTAATCTCAGTGAGCCTCAGATTCTCCTATAAGATGGGAATAGGATCTACTTCATTAGGGTTTTTAGTATTAACCAAGACCATGTATGAAAAGAATGCAAAACCATGCAGTAACTGTGAGAACTATATAAGATAATACTTAGCATAGTACCTAGCATGTGATAAAGCAGTCAAACACTTAGCTATTACAATTCTCCACAGGTCAAACAATATAAGACTGGCTAAATAATCTACAGTACATGCATACAATGAAATACTTTGCTATATGATATTTAAGGGCATGATAAAAATACCCATAATATATGGCTAAGTTTAAAAGATAGCTAAAGATAGTATGCACAGTAAAAGCCTTCTCCTAAAAATATATAAATATACATTAATAGAAGAGACAGTAAGAGTACATTCATTCCACGATCTACAAATTGTGGATATCAGCAATTAAGACGACAAAACAATGAAAAAATCCCACACCTATGCATTCAGATAAGCAGTAGCATCACACCCAGACATCCCTATTCTATTACATTATCCCTGGTATTCTTCTACATATACATACAAGGGTACTTTGAAAAATTCATGGAAAAACAAAATTAAAAGATAATATGACTTTTCATGAACTTTTAAAGTACCTTCATATTTGCCTATGAATACTAAGGAATTCACTCTAAAACTTCTCAAATTTTAGTGGGTGAAGAAAGGAGAAGGGGGCTATTTTGTAAGTAAAAATACGAATTTTTATTTTGCATGAGTCCAGCCCTTCATATTTTATATTGTATAAAACAGAAAAATTACTTTGACTAAAAGTAGGAATATGAGAACAATTCCACAAGGGCAAATTTACCCCAAAGTATTGAGAATTTTAATTCTTAAAAGAAATTGCTATTAATCTATAAAATGAAAATTTCACAGTACAGCTGCCACTGAAGTCACAATCCTGAGATTGTGACCAGAGAATACTGTCATAAAAATTAACAAGATGAAACAAAAGACACTACAGTTTCTTAATTTTTAAAAAAAAAAAATGCATTAATAGGATGATATGAAAGCCAGTATTCAGTTAAAGGTAGAAATATCAAAGATACTGAAAAAATATGAATTCTGGTTTAGAAAGACGTATTAGATATTACATTGTGAAATATTTAGTTAAGAAATGCTATTTCATTAATTTAAGGATTCTACCTCTTCCTATTTTCATTACAAATTATATTTCACTCAAATTACTAATACTAAACCGATAGCTATAAATGGATACTAAACATTCGTTGAGCCTCAAAGGTGGGGGTAAAAAATAGGATTCTCAAAAACAAAGAAACAGCCCTTTTAAACCACAGATTTTACAGAATCTCTAATTTTAAGCAGATTCTCTTAAGCAAAATGCATCCTGTTCTCAATTCACACACAGATTCAAGACATCTGAATATGAAAATAAATTCAAGACATTTGAATACATGAAAATCAACTTATTTCAGTTCTTTCCCTCTGTGTCATCATTAAATAAGCCCAGTAACCCAGAGACTTTATTTTCAGTATTTTAACATTGTCCCCCTCTGCTGTATGAAAAAAGAATTCAAAGATTTCATCCTTTATTTTCCTTAAGATATCACTAAGAAAAATTCTTTCAATTTGTTTCCCATAAGATAGTTTAAAAGTTAGTAACCTGTCCCTGTATCTGCAAGGCACACACAAAAAAATAGTAGTCTAAAAAATAAATAAAGTTAGTAGTGTAACAAAGTGATATACATAATATGGAGATTCCATGGTTTACCCATAGCCACCATAGTAACCACGGCTGCCACGAAAGTGGCTAGACATCACAACCACCATGCAGATGGTCCACCAGCCACTGGAGTGCACTGACACAAGGAGAGTCACCAGAAGAGACCAAAGAAAAGAAGAGGATGTGCCCATTCCAGAGTGACAGAAGAAGCACCTACTCTATGATAATGTTGAGGGACCTGAACACACCTCTCAGCATTGGACAGATCATCTAGGCACCAAATCAACAGAGTAACCATTACTCTTTCAGAGGGAGAGAAGATATCTAGGGTTATCAGTGGTGGGAGTGGGGAGGGAGGGGGGATAGGGAGAGATTGAACAAGGGGCACAAAGAATAAGTACAATTTGTAACAATATATATACTAGTGATATTGATTTGATCAACATATGTCAACATTGAACCCCCAAAATATGTATAATCAATTATGATTCAATAAAAATAATAAAATAAAAATAAAAATTTAAGAAGCCAAAAAGAAAAAAAAAAGACTTCCTGAGAACAAGGGAAATAAAATGTATATATATAAACAAACTACTATACAAGGAAGAAAAGTGGTTATGTAGCATTTAAAGAATGGGGAAAGGGGCAAAAATAGGCAAATTGAGAACACAGTAAAGCGGGTTGAGGAATGGTTAAAATCAAACACAAGATTTGAAAGATTATAAAGAATAAGAGATAACAACTCCCATTTTTATGGCAACACCATTATTCACAATATCCAAGATATGGAATCAACCTAGGTGTCCACTGACAGATGAGCAGATAAAGAAAATGTGGTATATATAAGCAATGAAATAAATACTAAGCCACTAAAAAGAATGAAATCTTGTCATTTGCAGCAACATGGATAAGCCTGGGAGACACTATGTTAAGTGAAATAAGTCAGGCACAGAAAGATATACACATGTTCTCACTCATGAGGGAGCTAAAAAATAGCTGAACTTTTAGAAGTAGAGAGTAGAATTGTACTTACTTAGTGGCTGAGAAGGGAAAGGGGGGACACAGATGTTGGCTAAGGAACACAAAACTACGGCTAGATGGGCCGGCCCGGTGGCGCACTGCTACAGTGCGCCGCTTGGGAGTGTGGCGGCGCTCCCGCCGAGGGTTCGGATCCCACATACAGACCAGTTCCCGCTCACTGGCTGAGCGAGGGGTGGGCACGGCACCAAGGGTTGCAATCCCGTTGCCGGTCCCGGTCCGGTACGGGCGCGACACTGAGAGTTGCGATCCATTGCCGGACACGAAAAAAGACAAAAAAAAAAAAACTACGGCTAGATAAGAAAAATAAGGTCTAGTGGTACATAGTAGTGCTAGGCATCTGTAATTAACAGTAATTTATTGTATGTTATCAAAAGGCTAGAAGAGAGATCAAACATTCACATTACAAAGAAATGATAGTTTTACAATGATTAATAAGCTAATTACCCTGATTTGATCATCATACATATACATGTATTAAAATATATTTCTGTACCCTATAAACATGTACAATCAATACTTCTCAATCAAAAAATAAATTCCTTAAAAAAGAAAAAGAAAAAGAGATGACAGTGCTTAGCCACACAAATTTGTGTATTTACCAAGGTACTCTTTTCTGCATGTATATGGAGTCGCTGAGTAATACAAGTTCTTAAGTCATTTGTCATCTATCCACAATCAATTTACATTTAAATAACTTCAAGTGGACATGTATTAACAATCTCTTGATAGAAATATACAGAAAAATACCAAACTCATAATTTTCTGACCTGTCTCCCTCTGAAACCCACCTAGAGTTTTGTGCTTCATTACTCAAAATTCCTTCATTAAACGAATTCTACATAATGTGGATAGAGCCAGTGACAGACTAAAACTCTGATAAGATTTCATCCCTTTTCTCACTCCCTATGTCCCAAGCAGATCTGTTTCACACATGCGCCTCATAATTAATCAAGTTTGTTCTTGGTAATCTTCAAGTAAATAAGTAAATGAGCAGATCCTTTTTAACTAGATGCAAAAAACTACTACTTTACTTCACAATTCGTACTCCAACCCTCTGCAGCTGACATCATCTTTCTTATAGTCCCAGTTACCATTCTTCATGACACAGACCAACCCTGATCCTGGCTCTTGCTCCATGATAGGAAACTTCACATTAATAACATAGTATGTTGCAGGACCTGTGTATAAAAAAGGTGTAATAATGGAAAAAGTCTACCCATATCATTCATTCCCATGAACTCATTTATCATATACCTTCACACAGCTAAAAAGGTTTCAGAGCTCATTTAGTCATATCCCTCATTTTACAGATGCTGCAAATTTAGACCTATAATCATTTTGTGACTAGACTAAATTCATTAAATTCTCTGGCAAGCAGAGAGCCAGAGTCAGATTTTTTGATTTTCAGTTCAGTATTTTTCCTACAAATTATACTACTAGATACATCTTTTGATTGACATTTAAATATTCTCTGAATATTAATCCTATTGTACATTTTACTTCCTTTTGAAAATATAAAGAAATCTAAAAATCATATAGTTACTCAAACTGTAATTTAAATTATACATTATTTCCTCATAATAAAGTAACCTAAAATTCAGCTTAATTAAAAACAAAAAAACCAAGAAGTAGATTCACCTTTACGGTAGTTTTATAGTTCATATTTTGAACTGTATGAGGTAGGGTGAGAAAAGTATTTGTACATCAAAACTGACCAAACTGATATGTTCAACAGAAAAGACAATTTCAGTATCAAATCTTAAAGAGAGGATGATTACTCTATCCTTTTTAAAAAACCTCTTTATTGAAACGTATTATACCTATCTTACTAAGTACATAAGTACCACACAAGCTAAAGCGGATTTTTTACACTTCACTGTACTAGAACTTGGGGGATTAAAAAGCTCTGATACTCAAATTATCATTCTTATTTACCTGTCCCTTTTAATTTAAAGATATGTGATTGAAAGAATCTACAAACTTACTACCACATGGGTGATTAGTTCACCAGTATTTCTATATTTTGAAAATATTACTAGTGACAACTTATTTTTATTTTTTATTTTAACTTCTCAATAAACATTGTAGTTGATTTTCATGACCCTTTAACCCGTCCCTCTTCCCCCCTTTTCCTCTCTCCTCCCCCCCACATCATATCTGTTCACTTGTCTTAAAACATTCAAGGAATTGTGTGACAACTCTTTTCAATTGTCTTACTTTTGTTGAAAGTACTTTAAATGTGCTCTGTTCTGGTATTATACAATGAAGAAGTCTCAGTTTCAAGCTGTAATCCTCTCCAGAAGGAAGTTTCACCAAAGCAGACAACTAATAAACACAAAATTAGCATCACATTTTGTAAACTTCTATACTGAAGTGTAAAATACTTAAACTGAATATTTATAGAACTTTAGTAATGCTGATTATTTTAGAAGCTTTATATAGAATATCAGATTTAAGAAATTCAAAATAATCCTTTTTTTAAATCTAGTATCCTTCATGTGAATTCTCATATACTTAATTAAATAGCAGAAAATAATGTTTCATAATATCATATATTTATCATACATATTAAACATTTAAATCTCAAGAAAACACAATATATAAGAGAAAAATCACATAGTACAACAAAAAGAAACTATTCATGTGCAAAACATAGTTCTACCACTACCTCTCTTAAATCACTACTTCTCTACTAAATGTTAAAAAACCAAGTTATCCCGGTACGGGCGCGACACCGAGGGTTGCGATCCCATTACCGGTCAGTAAAAAAGACAAAAAGGGAAAAAAAAAAAAACCAAGTTATCCTGGTACGGGCGCGACACCGAGGGTTGCGATCCCATTACCGGTCAGTAAAAAAGACAAAAAGGGAAAAAAAAAAAAACCAAGTTATCCTGGTACGGGCGCGACACCGAGGGTTGCGATCCCATTACCGGTCAGTAAAAAAGACAAAAAGGGAAAAAAAAAAAAAAACCAAGTTATTAAGTTGGACTCATTTAATATGGTTAGTAAATCCTAAGACATGTATAAGTCATACAACACATAACGAGACCTTCGTCATGAAGTATACCATACAAGTGTAACCAAACCACATCTTACTAAAGTCAACCAAGTTCTGTTTTTAATTCTAAATCTAATGAAAACAACGCACATGCAGCTATAATCTACAGCATACATATTCTTATCACAAAACTTAAAATGACTCAAACTGAAAAGCAACACTGGCTTTTATTCAGCATTTTCCACATTATCTCAGGAATAAATGGCATATATCTAATAAACTGCTACAGACTATTCTGCAATATGCCAAATTTGCAATAGTAGTATTTAATCTGAATATAAAAATGGTTCAAAGATTAATAACCTCTTTTTCTGAAAATTCCACATTTACATCATTCTTCTGAACATTCTTGATCATAAGTGTAATGATTACTTGAGATTCCGTTTGATACCAGTCATACCTATTAAAAAAAAAAGAAAAAAACTTAAAACAGCACTTATATTTTCTTAAAAGTAGTGTCAAAATAAAAACTAGTCTGATAAACAACAAGAGCACCACCTTGAGGAGTAAAAGAGCAAAGCAGCTGTTGATTGACAGAAACAATTTTATAACTAATTTTCTATGATCTGCTAATGGAAAAAAACAGTAAGGTACATGATGCCCTAACCTTTCCAGTAAACTTAAATACCTACATGATTTTCTAACTTATCTCTCTAATACTATTCTGCTTAAGCTAATATTAAAGATAAAGTTCATTCTAAACAACTAACAGCTACACACCATCAATAGTTTTACACTCTCATTTGAACCAAATACTAAGATGAAGTAAACACTTCTATTCCTGTTTTACAGATGACAAAACTTAAGCTGAGAAAGGTGAAGCAATCAGCCAGTCAGTGGCACTGGTGCACTGGACCCAGGTCAGCCTGAGTCAACACTACAAACTCTCTTAACTGAAGATGGCTCAGCAAACAGTGCTTGAGCACAGGGAGAAAGAACATTGTATACAATACCTACCGTCATTCTCAAAGTAGGTGAGAAACTAGTGTGTTTAGAGATTCTAATTATGTGTACCTTTTGCACTGAAATCTCTAAAAACATAGGAATCCTCACTTTCAAATCAGGCTAAAAAGCTATTTATCTATTCCGCCACTATATTACATTCCCAGGACCGAGCACATTGCCTGCTACACAGTGTATTTATTAAATCAATGTTGGATTATTATATGCTCCAAACACCATGATTATTATTATTTGATGTTTATGTGCCCTACACCTGCTGCTGGCACCCGGGCAAGTCAAAGTTCCTTGTCTACTAAGTATTCAGAATTTCATCCTGTATGTCCCCAAAAAGAACAATAAATTGTTTTAACATTTCCAAGCCATTTTAGGTAATTATGTCAAAAAGCACCTTGATTAAAGGAAATGAACTTTAAGAATCTCAGTTTCTCTTTGAAATTCAGTGAGGATGCCAAACTCCAGATTAATGCCTTGTGTTTCTTTCTGTTACAGTCCAAAGAATACAAGTTGTCACACTTAGCTAAGGAATAATTAAAAGTAAAGTCAAAGACCTGCTAGTTGCTTACTCGTTATTGTAATTGCTGCCCTCAGCAATATTAACTTTCATGCATAATGTTCTATGAAAAACTTACTCCAAATGTAAAAGGCAGGGCAAGTAACGATTCTGTCAAGACTACTACTAACTTATTCACCTGTGTACTAACATCAATTTAACTGGAAAACAGGCTCTCCTTAATATATGCAAAGGTGACATAATATGGAATCAGGTGAAGCAACTTTAAACATGAGAACTGATTTGAATTTAACTTAAGTATAAACACCAATAGTGATCAGTAATCAGCATTATAAATTAGTTTTTCACAAGGCTATAACAACTTTAAAAAACAAACTAAGAAACACTTAAAAACGCATGGTAAAGACTTGCTTACTTATGAAATATAGGTGTTTTATTTCCCCCTCTAGACATATTTATCATGCACTGTTTTATGAAAAAGAAACACTTACTTGATTTTTGACTGATGAGTCTGTTGGGATGCAGACTGATTTTGGCAAGTTAAAAGAGAGTTTTACAAGTCAGTTTAGCAACTGTATATTAAAATACACTTATTAGTAATTTACCCAACACTATAGTTATTTTGATATGGAATAACTACATAAAAACTTTCTTCAAAAACAGCATGGGTAACTATAATTGTTAGATAATACTAGTCTTTATAAAAAAAATTACGATGTTCTACATTTTTATAATTTTATTAGTTTCAATTTTAAAAAATATTTTTCTTCTGAAATAAAAGAAGTTTAAACAGAAAACTTCTAAAGGTATGACTGGAAAAGTTTACTTATACGAAGTGTCCAGTTCTAAGACTCAGTAACTCCCTAAAATGAAAATAACATTAACATTTTAAAAAACATTTTTAAAAAATAGAATATAACCTTCAGGCTTAACCATGATGTAAAACATTGCTCTGGAAACTTATAAAGAAACATTGCTGTGGTGGCTTCCTAATAACATCTTACTCAATTTCGAGCTTCTGCAACATACAAACAAGGGTACTACAAAAAATTCATGAAAAGAATCACATTATCTTTTTTTTTTTTTTTTCCTTTTTTTGTCTTTTTCTGTGTCCGGCAACGGATCGCAACCCTGTGTCGCCCCCGTACCGGACCAGGACCGGCAACGGGACTGCAACCCTCGGCGCTGCTCCCGCGCCTCGCTCAGCCAGTGAGCGGCTGCAACCCTAGGCGCTGCTCCCACGCCTCGCTCAGCCAGTGAGCGGGAACCGGTCTGTATGTGGGATCCGAACCCTCGGCGGGAGCGCCGCCGCACTTCCCAAGCGGCGCACTATAGCAGTGCGCCACCGGGCCAGCCCTCCCATTATCTTTTAATTCCATTTTTCCAAGAACTTTTTGAAGTACCTTGGTACACTGTCCATCAATAAACAAAGTGATTCTTGACCAATCCATACATACTTTCCTAAACTACATGTGTGCCAGTTAAGACTATGTACATGTAAAGAACTTGTCTTGGGTCATAGACGGCCTCTAAGCTGTCCCTTAGAGAAGGGAAGAGATGGGGTTTGCAGCAAAGAAATAAGTAAAACCACTCTAGAGATCTGAGTCTAACTCAGAATTACCCTCCAGTGTTAAAGATTGAGAAATACCTGAATCTAGATCATATTAAGCGGAGATACTGATTAGAACAGATTATTCCAGTTCATCCTAGTATCGAGATAAAACTAGACTAAACCACAGCAGTGACAAAATGCACTAAGGCTACACAACTTGTGTGTGTTACTGGACAAAGTCTTTTCATTGTCATCCAAATGCCATTCTGTTGTTTTCGGGCCTAGTTCCAAACTCTCCTAGCAGGTGAAGAAGGAAGCCAACTTTGAAACACCTCCTCCAGTCCATTCCCCACCCCTAGGAATATGGGCAAGCACGGAGGTATAGGGATAGCTGGACAGGGTTCACTCTGGGAGAAGTTCAAATCCCCAGTCACTACATATGCACATACATTGCCTGAAGCTCACAACAACCTGCCTTAAGTAGATTAGCCTTGTTAGCCTCGTTTACACAAGAAGAAATCTCAGCAAATACTTGACTTTCTCAATGCAACAATGTAATTTTAGAAGACAAAGATGTAAATGTTTAATAACTGAAAAGACTCGAAGATCTTCATGTCCAAAACAAATGTAACACCGAATTAGAAATAAACATTTCCAATTTTACTTAACCTTTGTAAAGTCTCAACCTACCATAAAAAAAACCTACAAGTGATTTCAACTGTTTAACCTAAATAAATGTAATGACTTTTTAGTAAAGAAATAATCATCCTGCCCATACGTACTAAAACATAACAAATCAACAACACACTAAATTCATTTTTAAAAGTCCCAATAATTTTCATGACTACAAATTTCTATATTTCACGAAAAAATAATTTTAGTTCAGTTACTAAAAAAACTATTTAAGGGCCGGCCCAGTGGCGCACTGCTACAGTGCACCACTTGGGAGTGTGGCGGCGCTCCCGCCGAGGGTTCGGATCCCACATACAGACCGGTTCCCGCTCACTGGCTGAGCGAGGTGCGGGCGCAGCACCCAGGGTTGCAATCCCGTTGCCAGTCCCGGTCCGGCGGGCGTGACACTGATGGTTGCGATCCGTCACCGGACATGAAAAAAGACAAAAAGGAAAAAAAAAAAACTATTTAAATGGAATTGCTTAATATTTAAATGAGATAGCTCATCCTGAGTCCTGTCTTAAATGTATTTGGTACTTGAAATTTAGTATAATTATGTTAAAACATAAAGGACGAAAACTTTGAACTTACCCCCTCAGATTCCGATCCTATTAAAAGACAAAAAGGATGCATTTTCAGATAACGGTACATGTATAGGTAAAGTTACATAGATGATTTCTATGGCACAAACACAGATTAAGCAAGACAATTCTCCATATATTTCAAATAAAGGAAAGTGGCTTAATTTTGCATCCTGGAGTCATTTTACACTCCTTAGTAATTTCTTACTAGTAATACCATGATAGTATTGCAAAGCAAATCCATCCTAATCTCCCTTTCAACATAAGAAACTATGCAAAAATCAGTGTATCTTTTGGAAACCTATATCTAAGGAAATGTGTACTACATAAATCATAAATTATAAAATTAAAAATAAATTTGCTTAAACCAAAAAATTTCAAATGTTTACTTCTTTTTAAATTGAAAGACCATGGGAAATCCACATAACATATTTACCATTCTGAGCTTCCTGACACCTTTTAATCCAGACAATGAAATCAGCATCTGCACCTAGAAAGAAAAAACTGACTATAACATCATTCATCTGCACAACTCAGCATATTCATTCAGCAAATATTTACTGAATAACTACTACGTCCTGGGCACAGTTTGAGGTACTGGGGATTCAGCAAAGAATATAACAGACAAAAACACCTACCCTAACAGAGCTTATAGCAACTCTAATATTATAGCTGAAAATATACCATAGGTTTAACATTGGTTGTTCATCCTGAAAATTTTTGATTTAAAAAAAAATTAGTTTTAACTACAATCTTACCAGTTTTCCAGATACAGATAATCTACCTTTCCCCTCACCCCCCTGCTCTTAAAGGAGCTTCCTTTCACACAACAAAATCAGACCAGAATCTGATTCCTAACATGCCAACAATTAGGGTGGTATCTGGCGTGATAACTGGCAGCTGGGTTGAGGTCCTAAAGCCTCTCCCAGCCTCAGTTTACCCTTCAGTGCAGCTACCTGTTCTGCCTACTATTCTCTCAGTGGCTTTACTAGTTACCATGCCTTTCCTACCAACACTAAGACATGTCTTTATATATTTACAGAAAACAATGTAAATGTGTACAAAAAAAAATTATTAACTTCTGAAGATCCCAAATAACGATTACATATAAACTCACAGTGCACAGAAAAACATGTTAAGAAAAATATTAAATGTATTCTAAATAAGTGCTTACAAATTCAAGCTAACTACAGGTAAGATTCATGTGAAAAATAAAAAGCAATTAAAAATTCCTTAAAATTTTCCAGTTCACTAATTTATAAAAGAAATTCAACTACACAGGCTTTAATAAAAATTTTAAATACACTCTCTCTCACACACCACACACACACACACACACACACACACACACACACAACATTCTAGTGAGGAATTATTGTTTCAAAGTCCTAGACTTGAATAACCTAAATAATCACTAAATAAAACCAAGCTTCCTACCATTCAACAGAGGAAAAAACATAATATTCTGAGTTACAAATTTTTTACCCCGTCTGATTAAAAGTGGAAGCCTAACAGTTTAACCTAAATTTTTCCTGAAATTAAGTTTAAAGAT